GAAAATGTTATTTCCTACGTTTTAGGAAAATATGTCTCAAAATTCTTTCCTTTTTACAATATTCTGCCTACCTTCCCTTCTCCCTACATTCCACGTTATGGTTTAGTTCTTAAATTACCCTGAATTTTGAAGAAATGTCCAGATTTTTTTTTAACCACATGTGTTTTGATTTTCTGAATATGGCACACTAATGAAAATCCCCTGTGCATCTGTAGTAAATAAATCTTTGAATTGCTAATTGTTTCAGATTAACCCCATAGATCTTTAGCAGCTGTCTTTATGGCATTTTCAGCCCACAAATTCAGTCCGTTTATTTCTGGGTCTTTAATCATAAACTATATACACATGCATAAAGGTCAGACTACCTCATGGATAGAATGATGGCAGCATCTGTATATTTCGTAGCCTCCCTGTGAGAGGGATGCAGGTCATCCTTTATCTCCTTTTCTCACCTTGGATTAATCAGCTCAGGCTGCCATAACAGATTACCACAGACTGGTAGCTTAAACAACAGAAATGTATTTTCTCCTAGTTCTGGAGGCTAAAAGTTTGAAAGTCCACAATCGAGGTGCCAGCAGGCTTGGGTTCTGACGTCAGCTTGCAGACAGCTGCCTTCTCACAGTGTCGTCACGTGGCCTTTCCTCTATGGGTGCACTCCTGGTGTCTCTTTCTCTTCTCTACATAAGGGACACTAGTCCTATTAGATTAGGGTCCCACTCTTATGATCTCATTTAACCTTAGTTATGTCCTTAAAGGTCCTATCTTTAACTATAGTCACATTGGGGGTAAGAGCTTCAACACATGAATTTGGAAGTGGGGGACACAATTTAGTCCATTATACACCTTACACCTTAAAGATGGTGCCAGATGTCTCCCATTTGACACTCCAGATCCCCTCTCCCTTTTTGTCCACGTGCTCCATGCTGCGGGATACTGATCTCTGTGTCTTCTTTAGACTCTCAGGTGCCCTGGCTTCTGATAGGGCTTGGCTAGTGGGATACACTGGCAAGAAATGGGAGAGAGATAGGAGGAGACTGGGTCTCAGTATGTATTCCCCTGGCCCGCTCCCTGTAGAGCCGAAATGGGTTGGTGTATCCCTTGGCCAATTCTCAATTCGTATTAGCTCCTCTGTCTCCAGCACCAGTGATGCCCCTCTCCCCAACTCTTAGCAGGCCTGGTGGGAGTGGGGGTGGGGAGTTATTGGCCCTACACTGTCCTTTAGAGTTTCCCTTCACCATACCCTGTTGTGAAATAATCACCTCAACTTATCTATTTGGTATAGGGATGTCACCTCTCTCTGGAAGGGATGTTTTCAGGGCAGCAGCAACCCACTATCCAATCACATCAACTCAGGGGTTCTCCAGACGGCCTTTTAGCAATGTTGTTGTGCCTCCAGAGTAGTGTCCACTTTGGGTGTTGACAGAATAGAATGACTTGCGGTCATACTTCCAAGGGAGTCCTTGTCAGGAATTTCTAGAGTGAATTTGGGGTTGGAGCCTGTATCCCTCCCCCTGAGGACACTCAAGAGAGGTCTTGAATTCTAAATCTGCCACCAAGCCTAGAGGGAACTTGGAGGCTGCTCTGCTCTTAGATCCTAATGCCGAGCTTCAGTGCAGACATTAGAGTTTCGGCTAAAAACAGTAGAGCAAACATAAGCCCTCTTTTGCTCAAAAGAAGACTGCTTTAAGGATTAAGGACTCAGGCTTTGGTTCTAGTTGGATTTCAAGCGCTGGCGCTGGCATTAGTGAGCATTTCTGAGCCCCAGTTTGCTCATCTGTAAAATTATGATGATACAGACTTGAATTATGTGGAAAAATGTTTGGACAATGCTTGGTGCGGTACATTTCTGTAAATGTTAGCTTCTGTTGTTTGTAGTATACAGTGGACCTTCTAGGTGTAAAACCTTTCTTGATCATTAAGTAAAATTATTTCTTAAGAATCGGTCCTATGTTTCCCCTATTAATAGAGGAATAAATGTGTTTATTTTGTTTATAAAAGTCATATGTAGCCATGGAAGGATGTTATGAAAAATAAGTCTTTCCTAATCTGACCAAACACTTTATGGTAGCTTTATGCATATAATTTAAGCACATTAACTTCTTTACTTGCACCTACATTTTTTTTTTCTAAACTGAGACCATACTATATCATTTTGTATCCTACATTTTGTATCCTACATTACAAAGTCACTACATTGTGAACATAAAAGTATGTTGTGAATATTTTCTTATTAAATATTCCTTAAAAGTCAAATTAGTTTTTCATTGAATTTTATACATAGGCACAGTCATAATTTTTACATAGATACAGAAATGCGATTGTGCCATATGTGCTTTCTCATTGCTTTGTGCTTCTTAATCTATTATATGTTATGGTGCTTTTTAAATACCATTTGGTGTTTATGGTGGGTTTTTTCACTATCTCTTATGTTCTGTTGACCTGGTAGGTAAGGCTCTGATGTAACCAGGCTTTTTGCCTACAACACAGCCCCTCAATGTATAATAGAGATGGTACATTTTGGTGATGAACTACAACCTTCTTTTTCTCTGGCTGTGATGTTCTATTTCTGGAGTCTATATATAAGTTAGTCACTAGGGTTTTTCAGTATGGCCATCACACCATAGGAACGATTTCTTCTAGGGATCGACAAAATATTTAATATAATCCTTAGTTTATGATGGTGTGGTGATTTTTGCATCTTTTTCTCTGTTTCATGAATATTTCGATAGGAAACGGGGAAGGAGAGCGAGGCCCAGCTGTCTAGGGCAATAAGATTCATAAATTTCTTCTCTTTCTTCATGAATTTTTCCCATTCTTCTGTAATCATATTGCATTTTTCCTCATCGAAGGACAAAAGGAAATCTATGCTCAAGTCAGTCAAAGTGTGTCATAAATATTCTGTTCCTTGGGGATTCAAGGTCAGAGACAGTTTATCACAGATACTCCAGATTCTTTGTCATCGTTCTTTTCTTGGCTCTTTTTCCAGAAATTCCAAAACAACATCCCAAATA